GTAGGACAGGCTTGTCCAACATGTGGCCTGCCAAGGCATTTTCTGTGGCCCTCGGTGCTGCGACAGGAAACAAATCGTTCCCGCCCCTTGCCCCTCCCCCAGCCAGGCTGGAGGTTGGCCTAATGGCTGCTGAAGGGCTGGGGAAGGGACAAAGTTCCCACACGCACTGCATCAACTTGACGTTGCCAACACAGTGCATGTGGGAAGAGGAGTGCAGACCCAGCCTGCCTCCTCCTATCCCCAGCACCACGTGGGGAAGGCACCGCTTTCCAGCCCAAGCAACTCGCCACTCCCCACCCACAGGCAAGAGGCAGCTCAACTTGGCCACCCAGCCTCGGGTCGCTGGCAGAGGCAGAGCGGCACAGGCAGGTGCCTCCTCCTGCCAGGCTGTCAGCATTGGCCGCGCTGCGCAGGGTGGCCCCAGGCTCAGGCGGAGCCTGCACTTGCTGCACCCCGAGGTGCCACCCGGCCCTGGCTTCTTCCAGCCTGGCGCGGCGCAGCGATGTGGACCCACAGAGGCAGCATGGCAGCTGAGCTCATCCTCACCATCTGCCTCTGCTGCCTCCTGCCCAGCCGGGGTGCCACAGGTAGGGCTGGGTCGGGCCAGGGTTGGGGCAGGAAGACGGCACCTTCCCCGGGGCCAGGCTGGTGACTGTGGGCTCCCAGCACCTGTGTGTAGGGGGAGGTCCCTGCCTTTCACAGTCCCAACCCAGTGTCCCTCACTGCTCCTACCTCTAGACCCCAGTTCCCCAGTGTGTGGGACACGGGGGGACCCCAAGTAGCCCCTTGCAGGGTAGAACTCTGCCAGCCCACAAGAGAAAAGCCACAGTTATATGTTTTTCTACTTTAAAGGAGAACCCACTTTTAAAGTTTTCTCGTGACCCTTTCACATATTCTTGAGACCTTCATTGGTGTCAAAGGTCATATGACATCGCTTCCTGATGTGATACCACTTCCTGTGAGGTCTTTGAATATGGCTCGCCAGCCCACTAGGTGATAAAAAGTTTGTGATCCAGCCCCACATTCAAAATGGTTGGACATCCATGATGTAGGACAAGTGAGACCTCAGCTGGAATACTGCATCCAGATTTTGGCACCACGCTTTAAAAATGAAGACAAACATTGGAGTCCAAAGGAGGATGACAAAAAAAATGACAGGAGGTTTGAAAAATATGATCTGTGGGGAAAGGTTGAAAGGGCTCGTTTTTGCTTGAAGAGAGAAGGCGGGGACAAGATAACAGTCTTCAAATATGTAAAAGGTTGTTATAAGAGACAATGATCAATGGTGTTCCATGTCCACTGAGGGTAAGACAAGCAGTAATTAGCTTATCTTAAAAGCAAACATTTCTACTAGGTATTAGGAACCACTTTCTAAATTGTAAGAAGAGTTAAGCAGTGGAATAGGCTACCTAGAAAGGATGATAAACTCACCATCATTTGAGGTTTTTAAGACTAGGTTAGAAAACATTTATCAAGGATACTTCCAGTATATTTGATCCTCCCAATCTGAGGCAAGAAAGACTATACTAGATGATCTCCTGAGACTGCTTCCAACCCCACACTTCTTATGATTTACAGTCACTCATGTGGACACACTTATTCCATTGCAGGAGTGACTTACAGTGTTCTGCAAAACCCCTTTGCTTTCCTCCTCTTGAAAATAGGAATTATATACACATAAATTATTGGTTTAAACTTAGTCGTTATCGCATTGTAAAGTCTAATCTAACTCACATTAGTCAGCTGGCTGTAAAAATCCTAGCTGGCAGTGAGGCAGATCCACTGACTCACTCTGCAGATAGAATTCCATACACTGCAGAGGGAAGGGCATGCTCACCCTATCAGCTTACAGGTAAATGTCAAAACTTCCCCAATCCCTTTATTCATTCAGAATAAAATTATACATTGGCCTTTGAGCTAAGGGCGAGCAAGATTTGGGGGCATCTGAACTTCAAGACCTCTGGGTCTCAGGCCTGCACATAGGATGCCTACCATGGATTTGGGAGCATCTGAAACCCCAGACTGGGATGGAGGATACTTGTGGGTGGTAGCACCACACAAGCTTGAACGACTGAGTTTTGCTCAGCTCAGTCGATGGAATTCAGAACTGATTTGACTAATTTGGCCCAAGACAGGAATTATAAAAAATATTATACATTCCTTAGCATCTGTATCACTTTTCTGCAAGAGACTAGGCCATCTCCAGCCCTGTGGAATTCATCTCCTTACTCACTGTCCTGAATGGGAATAAGGTAATGGCAATGGTTAACAGGCATGTTATAACAAGTTAAATACTTATTATAACACACTTCAAGGAGCAACTCACCACCAGCAGGATGGGCATATTTAGCCCTACTCAGCCGTATGTTTGTTAGGAAACCCGTGACTTCAGGCTTCATAACAAACTTGAAACCAAGGCAAGGCTTGCAAACCTTTGGTGAATCTTGAGCTTCATTTCAAACAAACAATCACAAACCCATTCAGGATTTAAATTTTGCTTTTGGGATAGATGGAATTTTCTTGCCCAGCTGCTTTAGAAGTGAAATTTTCATGAACCAAAAACATGGAGGAAAAAAAGTTCATGCCAAGTTTCAAGATAAGACTGCTGTATACCACCAGATTCCTTGTTCCAGCATTGCTTGTTTCAGAAGCTCAGAATGTGTGTTAGAAGTAAACTAGCTTTGTATAGGATTTCTCATGTACAGAGCAGTTAACAAATATTAATGAAATCTGATCAACCCACAACAGAATGGCATGTTAAATGTTATATCCCATGTGGGAAAACTGAATGGTTGGAGAGTTAAGCACCTTACCAAAAGCCAGAGAAAAGATTTGGAAGTCTCTAGCTCTCATCCCCAAATCTAACCCAGCAGTATGCTGCCCCACAAAAGCTCCAGCAGCCAATCTCCTTGGTATAGTATTTGCTCCATCATACTTGCCAGCTGAAGTCACCTTTCAAATAATCCTCAACCTCCCTATGCCATAAAGCAGGCAGATTTCAGGGGAAGAATGGACCTTTTATATAGGGTACCTAAAAACTGTTTTTTTGCTGGTAAATTTGTTTCTAAATCTAAGTTTTAAAAACTACGTTCTTAACAAGGAAGTGGAAAAGGGTTGCATAGGCTGGGCCATGGTTTGAGGATACAGAGAATTTGTTAGCAGTGCTGAAGTCCCATCCAAATTTGACCAAAAGCTGACCCAAGCTGCATTCTCTCCAAAACTTGTTGTATTACAACAGCAAGGAGGCCCCAGGTTCAGTATTCCCCCTTCACAGCAGCTTCTCAAATCTCCAGTGGCTACATTTCCACAGTATGGAGGGAGGCATCGGCACTGCAGGAACACTGTCACGGAGCAGGGGAGCTCCATGAGTTCACCGAGCAGACACAAGTACTTGCAAGATCTGCTGTAAGCGCTATAAAGGCTTATCAGAACTCACGGTAGAGTTCTGAGTTGGTAGAGTTAATCTTTTATTAACCCAACTAGATTTCTGCACCAAAAAAAAAAAAAAAAAGTTTAAACTGCAAGCTTTTGGGCACTTATTTGTGGGTACAGATAAGCCAGGCCCAGTGCTGGATGATGCAATTCACAGGAGGAACCGGGGGGGGGGGAGGGGCCTCCATTTGAACCTCTATAGGTCAAGGCTCCTGCCCACACGACCCCAAGTCTCTTGCCACCACGCATCAGAGCCTAAGGGAAGGGAAGAAGCGTCTACCCTCGCGCACAGACCTCCCTCTCCGCACCGCGGGCAGCCCTTGGCTTGACAGGACCCTTAAAACCAAGCTGTTGAGAGTCACAGACAGCGAGCCCTTCGTCGGCTCAGCCCTGCCCCTGCCCGTGCCGCCACCTCGCTCCCAGCCTACGGTAAGAGGGCCGAAGCGCCCGGCCCCACCAACGAGCGCAGCCCCAGCGCGGCCGTGGGCGGCCGCCGCCACCTCCGCTCTCGAGAGACGCGAAGCAAATCAGGGCCGCGCTCCTGCCCACTGGGAGAAGATAGGGGGCGGAGCCGTGCGAGCCTGGACAAAGCTAGAGCAGGCACCACGGGCCGCATCCCCGTGCCCCGCGCCTGTACCCCGGGCCTGCGCTGGCAGCAGCGCTGCCCGTCCCCGCGCCACGTAAAGGCGCGCGGGGCCGATACCTCGCGAGACCCTCCCCCGCCGTAACAGGCGCTCGGCTCCTACCTGAGCCCGGAACTCCCGCCGGCCACTGCGCACGCTCAGCTCTGCGAGCCAACGGCCGCGTCCGGATCTGCTCGGCATTCGGGGCACGTGATCCGGCCACCAATCAGCAAGCGCTACGTTACCCCACTCCTAGCAACCTGGGGAAGCCTCGTCCCGGCCCCGCCCCCGCCCCCGCCCCGCGCGTCACAATGCGAGCCCGCCTCCCACTGCCCGGCCAGGCTCTGCTGTGGTCCCCACGTGGCGCCGGCAGCGGGGCAGTTCGAAGTGAAGCCCCGGCGCGTTGTGCTGTAGGAGCCTGCTCCACGGCGCCCGTTTGAGCGGCCCTGCTGATGCCGTAGTGGGAGCACTGGGGGCAGCGCCGGCTCGTTCCTGCGGCACCAGAAGGACTTGCTCCCAGTAAAGCGAACACAGTTCTGCACAGGCTCCCCCCGGCGCTAGTCATGTAGTGTGAAGGAGCCTCCGGCGTGTGGTTTTACCCCAGCACCATCCTCCTGGGGCAGGAACAGCTCTTCAAGCCGAAGGCAAGCCGCAGGCGGGGGGGTTT